CAGCCTGCCCCGTATGGCAACGGTCAGAATTGTTCCTAGTGCCCAGAAAAATCTTGCCGCGTTCCCCAGACCAAGAGTTTCGCAGCCAAGACGCCCAAGGCGCACCCAGGCGCCAACGAGCCCAAGCCTTCCAAGCTTTTGTGGCCAAGATGCCGACGATGCTTGTGGTGCTTATGATTCTTGGGGCTTCACCAAGTCGTCTGGCAAGGACAACCGCGCGCATGTTCCGAATTTTCGGCAGGTACCTCCGCCATCCGTAGTCCCACGAATAATTCGTTTTAGTTTTGTCTTTCTCTTCGATGCTATTGGCAGCCATGCACACCGACCCCAGTATTATTTCACGTTTATTTTTATTTTTATTCACTAAATCCTCTTTCTTGCACTGCCTGCCACATCACGCCGCGAAAACAACCTTAAAATACAAAATAGGCCCGCTAGCGTGCTGCATTGTGGCGCCTTCTCGTCTTACCAGCGAACCAGTCTCTTAGTGTACATTGTACCAAGCATGACATTGTGCACGACTCTTGCCGGCCTTAACGTTTTTTTGTATTTGTTTTTTATGCATTTCCAATTCCAGCCCTGATTAGCACTGGGTTGGGGGTTTCGGTAGTCATTTCACTCGGCACGATTGTCAACGTTAGAGGCTCAAATCTAGAACGACAAGGACCACACGTCCTGGCTGGCGAGTAGGAAAAGGACTCTCGAAGGATCCTGCTAGGATACCGTATCACAATGCCCCTGATTTAGTTTTATTCTTTGCTTTGTTTTCCTTTTTGTCCAAGACGAACGATGCGATTAGACTGTGGTTAGCTCGTTTTGCCGATCTTCTGGGCAGGCATAACACAACCCCTGACCTGCCAGCGTAAATTACGTACACAACGAGGCCCTGGAGGAAGGATTGCAACCGAGAAGGATACAGCGACAAAAAAAAAGGACTATCGGAGCCACCATACCAAAGCCGTTCAGAGTCAAATAGTCAATAGGCGTTGCGAAGAAAATCACCAGAAATACGGAGTAATACGAGTCGAGGGACACCAACACGCAAAATAAGAAACCATCTGGCCATAATAAGCAAATACAGCTGAACAAAAGACTCCGTACACAAACAATGACAACACGAGCCGTCTCCGGCCAACTTTAGGGCTCTCGCAGCCACAAGAGCATTTTGTGCACAGCTCCTCTCTTTTGTCGAGTCTTGACTACCGCCGAGATCACTTACATGTCTTTGCTGGCTGCTCTGTGTATTTGACTCCACTAAACGTCCCAGGAACTTTTGCTTAAAAGTAAACAAATGACCACCCCAAGTCAAGATCGAATAAATTCCAAAAAACAACCAAAACTAAACTCCAAATCCAGGAAACAGTAAACAGTAAACAGAAAACGGTTTGATCCAACGATGCATACATAACGGCAACCAAATTATTTTTAAGTGCAGTCCCAATCCATAATTCATAGCCTTTCCTCGAATATAGTCCAGTCCAGTCCAGCCCAGCCAGTTCCAAATGGCATCAGATCTACTCACGACCGTATCGTCTGCAAGGGAATGCCCTTTTCCAACTCATGGGTTGCCGGTGCTCGCGACAGGCTAGCCTCTTCAACTGCTGTTGCCTGCTGCATCCGACCAGTCGAGCCGTTTGCCGCTTCGGTGGCAGTTGTATTTGCTCCGGCCCCAGGGTTCGCACCTGGCATAGGGGCGCTCTCTTCACTGCCGGCCCACGACGCCGGAGACGCCGGCTTCCGCACCGACTGGACGAGGACGCGCATCATGGGCACAGACGCGGCCATGATGGTCACGGCCGGCTCGGCGGTGCCCCACAAGGTGAGGGTGACGCCGTCAAAGGCAAAATCGGGCGACGTCAAGGAGGGGAGGGCGGACGCCTTGATAAAGGCGGCGATGGCGGCGAAGACGCCCATGCTCATGGCGAGGGTGACGCCGAGCTTCTCGGCCGGGCTAATCTGGAGGTGGCGGAGGAGGAACCAGGGGATGATGGCAAAGGCGAGGTCCATGAGGCCGGAGTAGCCTAGTCGTTGGTGTTAGCGAGTGTGAGCAAGCAAAAGGAGAAGCCTGCGTCTGGTGCGGATGTCAGGAGCCCTAGCGAGCGCAGCGAGGACACAGGGAGAGGACACAAAACGAGCGCAGCGAGGACACAAGAAGCTTACTGCTGGCGACAATGCCCAAGACGACGCCCACCTGCGGACGCCAGCAGGTGCCCGGCAACAGCGGCTGCCACGCCTTGGCCACGGGCGTGCACTGCAGCCAGTAGATCAGCGTGGGGCCGGCAAAGAAGAGGTTCATGGACACGAGCGCAAACCACACGAAGCCGCGCAGGCGGTGCCAGCCGCTGGCGACGCGCAGCAGCGTAATGGCCCACGAGGTCTTGCTCCACGCCTGGGCGCAGATGCCAAACGTGATGGTGAGCAGGCCCGTCAGCGTGATGCGGTTGAGGCGGTCGGTGATGTCGGCGGCGGTATCGTCGCCCGCCGTGGCGGCCACGAGGGCGGCGGTGTGCTGGCCGAACCCGTAGGCGATTTCGATGGTCGTGCAAACCTCGGCCGCCACCAGCATGGCCCACGCCGCCATCAGGAACCCGTCGTCCACGTGGAGGGTGCGGTGGCGACGCCATTTGCAGTAGAGCCGCGTGCCGAGAAAGGCGCCGGACACGGCGACGAGGACCCACACGGTGACACGCAGGGACGGGCCGAGGTTGACGCTGGGGCGGATTTGGTTGGCAGCATCCTGGGCCGTGGAGGTAGAGGTGGAGGCGGATAAGGAAGTGGAAGGCTCCAAGCTAGACGACATCCTGAGTCGTATTGGTGGAGGGCATGGCCGAGTGAGTGTTACAAAAAACGACTGATGTTTCGTCGAGGAGAGTATTGTATGGTCGAGTCGAGTCGGCAAAGAAGCTTTTTCACAGCGTCAGAAAGGTCAAAATGTTATGTGGAAAAGGGGAGGGAGGCAGGGATAGGAAAATATAAAGAAAAAGAGACGAAGAAAAGACATCAGGTTGAAGGAAAACGGCGTCATAAAGACAAAACAGCGAGGGCGTCACAGGACATATACTCTCCAGGATCATTGGAGAACAGAAGGGGGCAACACTTGGACGATCCGAGTCTGGACCGGGTTCGAGCCGGTTCGATAGACCAGGCAAAATTCAGGACAGTTGCATACTGCAGTCTGCCGATTCTCAACGAGACGCAAGGATAAAACACATCTCAGAGGTCTCTTTGGTTAGCCTCATTCTAGGCCCTTGGCTCACATCGGCCCAAAATTTGGGACGACGCGTAGATCATTCGTAGATGAGATCGGTGACCAGCGACCTCGTTGGAGGAAGTAAACGATCAACCGAGTTAAAGGCAATAAGCGAAAGACAAGCCGAAAAGAAGGGAAAACTGGAAAACTGGAAAACTGGAAAACTGGCTGACGATCAGGCCGGCACGAAGTCGATGCGGGGACAATCCCGGGGTAACTCATGTGCCTGAGGGCGCAAAGGCTGGTCTTGGTAGACATGAGACTCAAACGAAATGCTTGCAACGAGGGGACAAACATCGGCGATACCCAAAGCCAAGTGAGGTACAGTCAAACGACAAAATACTACAAAAAGGGTACTTTCCAGCATATAAAACGATAATGGAACAAAAGACACAAAAGAACCAGTGATGGTTTTTTTTTTGTCGCTTTCATTGCGTTTTGCCAGGTTTTTATATTTCTATATTCAAATTGAAGGTCACTATCTGAGACTTCTAGTATGCACAACGCAGCGAAAGTACATTTCCTCGTAATATGTACATAGTCCAAAGAACCGTTAACATATGGCTAGGACATGTTGTCCGATCAAACGAGTTCGATGTAATGGGAAGAGGCCATTGGAGTTTAAATGTACGTTGGCAATCAAACATTCACAATCAAAACGTATCAATGGGAAGAGGAAGAAAAGGCTTCTCTTCACCTCGCATTTCTGTGCTGCATTCCGCTTGTTTCAGAATCCAACGGTCTCCAAACCAGCACGTTGTCACAGCCATTTCTCCCCATACGACGTCGATCTTTGTGTCGAAAAAACCTGAAATCTGGTCCATGGTATTGGACATTATGCATTCCGTCTGTCGTCTTTCGTCTATATCTATCTATCGTCAACGGAGTTGTTGTTGTTGCTAATGTTACAAACTCTGCAGGACGGCTGGAGATGTGCAGACGTGAAATGACGACCAAATATATGAAAGTTCTTCCTCGTTACTTTTTTTGGCAAGTCATATTCATCTCGTTTTATTTTGTTTTTATTTTGCTTTTTTCTATTGTCAATTCAACTTGAGTCGCGTATCTACCTTGACATTGCGGATCTTCTCAAGTCTTAACGATAGATTATCAAAAAATATATGCATTTTTAAATTCCTTTCGTTTATTCTAAGCGTTTTCGATTGTCTCCCAAAATTCAACTCCATGAATCAACACAACCTATTTTGGTTATTCATCTTGTCCGTTCGGCAGTCAATTTACGTTGGAATCTTGGTATATTCTGGTTCCCAAACGGAATTTCCAACGGCGTAGGAAAAGATCTGAAATGTGAATGACCAGAGACTGTGGACGGCCATTGTGCGGCACAAGTGAGCGTGCAAAGTGTACAGGGTCAAAATATTGCGTTACATGCATGAATACATTGAACAAAGAGCAGAATACAGACTGTAGCAGACAAAGTCCCTGCCATTCAGCGATGGCTACGGAGAGGCTCTTACAGGTACATCATCCCACACCAAACACACACCAATTTACAAGTACCCAGGCACCGCGCCGCTTGGATGACAAATTCTGCCATAGACTAGCATCGGCATCGTTCCTCCTTCCTCACGAACACCGAGTTCACTGGTGATTGATCAACCTCAAGCGCCTCTTTCCTTCTTTCCTGTTTCTTTCTTCTCTTCTCCCCCTATTTCACCCCCTCCTTTCGTCTTTCGTATATCATTCCACTGTTCTCGCTCACACACACAACTACCACTACACAGCCGCCATGACGTCTCGCATCCCCCGCAGCTCGGCCGGCTGCTGGACGTGCCGGCTGCGGCGCAAAAAGTGCGACGAGGCGCGACCAGTGTGTGAGGGCTGCGCGGCGCTGGAGATTGAGTGTCTATACAGCGAATCGCGGCCCAACTGGATGGACAATGGGCCGCGGCAGCGGGCGATGGCGGACCGCCTGAAGCTGTCGGTCAAGGACCGGGCGGCGTGGCGGCGGGAGAAGCGGTTCTTGCGGGACATTGAGACGGGCGCGGCGGCGATCCGGCTGCGCGAGGCAGACGACGACGTGGCAGCCGGTGCCAGCGGACGAGGAGGGGACGCCACACACATGTTTTCGGTGGCCTCTTTCGCGACGCCCGTGGCCCGTCCTGCATCGCCGCCCGCGACAGCCTCGACGGCCTCGCCATCCGACAGCAGCGGCGCCGAACATGCGCCGACGGCAGCCACGGCAACGACGGCGACCACAGCCCCGTCGTCGTCCCAGATACCGCCAAATGGCACGTCTTCGGACGGCACGTCTGCGGACTGGACGACGCCCGCCTCGCTGGACCCGCCCAACCTCGACCGGGAGCACGAGCTCAATCTCATGATGCTGTACCTCGACTTTGTCTTTCCCTTTCTGTACCCCTTCTGCCGGCCCACCATGCTCGGCAGCGGCCGCGGCTGGCTTCTGGTGCTGCTGATGAAGAACAAGGCCGTCTTCCACTCGGCCCTGAGTCTGTCGTCGTACTTTATGGCTGTCGTGACCAACACGACGCATGCGCTCTCTATGCAGGCCACGCCCGAACCCATATCCATATCCACATCCACACTCCCGGCGTCGGGCGGCGGCATCGACCTCGTCGACCATGCCAGCAATGCACCCGGCGAACACGGCTCGTGTCTCATGGTCATGGCCTCGGAGCTGCACAAGCAGCAGGAACTGTCGCTGCGGGAGCTGCAGCGCACTATTGCTGCCGTCTCCGTCGCGCCGCCGACCGCAGGCATCGGCAGCGAGAGCCACTTGGCCGAGAGCGCGCGGGCACTTGAGAGCATCCTGCAGCTGCTGTCCTTTGAGGGCGTGCTGCAGCGCTTCGACCGGTGGCACGTCCACCTGGACGCGGCGGTGACGCTGTTTGAGCAGATTATGCAGCAGTACGGAGGAGGTCAAGAGGGCGCTGGCGCTGGCGCCAGCACCAGCGCCCCGTCCACTTCCACTTCTTCTCCCTCTCCCACTCCCACGGGCTGGCCTGGCATCATAGCCCGGCTGTCCCCCTTGCCAGCGAACGTGGCTGCGCAGACAATGTCCCTCCCGCTGCCCTACGGCTCCGACCAGGCCGCCCTCACATTCTATGCCTCTGTCCTCCTGTACATGGACATTGTCACGAGCACCGTCACCGAGACGGCGCCGCGGCTGCAGCAGTACCATGCCTCGCTGCTCGGCAGCTGCGAAGAGGGCACCGACGGTCGGTGTGGCGACTATACCGTATTTAAGCTGTTCGACTCCACCAAAAACTCTCAGCTGGCCGCCCACGAGGTCGTCGGCATCCGGAACTGGGTGCTGTTGGCGCTGGCGAAAGCGGCTGCGCTGGCCGCTTGGAAGAAGGAGGCGGCCGCGGCGCGCCGGCTGACCGTGGCCGAACTGCTGGCCCGGGCGGCGCCCATCGAGCGAAAGGTACGGGCCAGCCTGGCCTTGCTTGAAAAGAATTAAAAAAGCAGGGGGACCCCACGTCCACGTCCACGACCCCAACCGCCGGCCAGGCCGGCGAGCCCAGCTTGCCCGCGGGCTTCTACTCGCGCTACATTGCCGCCGCCGAGGCACAGCTCGTAGAGGCCCTGTCCGCGCGCGAGGAGGCGTGCCGCGACCGCGAAAACGACCCCCACCACCACTACAGCCACGGCCGCCAAGACGACCCGTCGCTGCCGCCCCATTCGGCCCATGCGCACTACCACGACAGCGCCGCCGTCCTGAGCGTCGACACCGCCACCTACATTTGGGGCCTGGCCGTCCTCACGTACCTGAAAGTCGTCGTCAACGGCTGGCAGCCCGCCGCCGACGACGTCCGCCAGTCGGCCGACGCCCTGCTGCGCGAGCTGGCCGCCCTGCCCTCCGCCTCGTGCCTCCGCCTCTTTGCCTGGCCCCTGTGCGTCGCGGGCTGTCTGGCGGCGTGCCCGCAGCAGCGCGCCCTCTACCCGGGCATGGTCAGCGAGATTTGCAGCGGCGAGCTGTACGGCACCGTCAACGAGGCGCTGCGCATCATGCGGGCCGTGTGGGCGGCACAGGACCTGCAGGCGCTGGGCGGCCGCAGCGGCGAGGCCCACGTGCATGTGGAGTGGGACTTTGCGCGGTGTTTCAACATCTTGGGGCGGAGGGCCTACTTGTTTTAATGGGTGAATGGGAGCAATGCAGCAGGCGTTTATTGACGTGATACCTGGTGCGACTGGTTTGGGGGGATGATACCTGGATTTTTGACTTTGAACAAATTAAAATATTGAATAATGGGTGCATTTTGAACATCTATAAACTAAAATGAAATGGGGATGGAACGAAAAGACCATCCAGCAGAGGCAAACGTCCCAGTCTGCCCTATTATTGCCGGGTTTTCTCACAACCCGGAGCCTGGTCGCCGCCAACGTACAGCTTTGTGTTTTGTATGTTGTGTTTCCTTTTTGCAAGGCCAGTCTAAATCCGTATACCTATTACGTATATGAAACAGAATGAAAAAAAAAAAGACAACAATTATAAATAAAAAGCCGTTTGCTGTTAACGCCCACCTATACAAACGTCTCCGGCGACGGCCCCGGCACGTCCATCTCGGCCGACCGGCCCGTCCGCGACGAAAACGGCGACAGCGACGAAAACGTGGACAATGCGGGCAGTGCCGTCGTTGTTGTCGTCGTCTGGAGTTTGGGCGGGGCGCGCCGGCTCTTGATCGTGCCGACGCCCCGCAGCAGGCCCAAGTCCCACCAGCCCTCGATCCGTTCCAACAAGGTCTTGCGATGCGCGTGGCTGCTGGCAGACGCAGACAGCGTCCCATGGTCTGTGGCGGCTGGCTGCCTCGGCTGTGGCGGCGGCAGAATGGGCGAGATGGGCGACAGCGAGGCCGGCGAGGCCGGCGAGACCAGGGCCGTCGCCTGCTGCCGCCGGACGGGCGACCGTTGAAACACCCGCGGCCACAGCGTCTCGCGGGCGAAGCGGCTGGGTGCCGCTGCCGCTGCAGCTGCCGCTGCCGCTGTTGATGGTGGTGTTGTCGTCGATGCCAGAGGCAGGGTGTATTTGGATGGATTGGCGGGGTTGTAGTGGGCAATGTGCGTGGGTGTGTATTTTTGGGTGAGCGACCGACTTGGGATCGGTCGACGGGCAGCTGCTTTGGTCGGAGCGGCAGCTGCTGCGCCCGGTATGGGCATCACGGCGGGCGGTCCAGGAGCGACGGCGGTATTTCGAGGCAGTGGAAAAGGAGACGGAGGCGAGGAACGAGGAGGCGACGGCGTGGACGACATGAGCGCGGGCGACGCCGTCGGTGACGCAAACAGAAACACGGGCGACAGCGGCGTTGGGGTCCGCGGCGCATAGCGGCTGCTGGCGGCTGAGCTGCGGCCCGAGCCGTTTCCGTGTCCGTGTCCGGACCCCGATGCGGATGGTCCCGTCTTGGTCTGGTGCGTCTGTGGTGGCGGTGACAAGGGTGTCGTCAAGCCGCTGTCGTACATGTCCTCCTTCTCCTTGTCCTTGTCCTCTCCGTCTGCTTCTCCTTCTCTCTCTTCAAAGAGCGGCCTCGCCGTCTTGATCCTGGGTGGCACGCGCTTCCGCTGAAGCCGTGACGCCCCGCGTCCCTATTGCGAACTGGTCTGCAGACTGGACTGCAAGCCCGAATGCAGACCGACCCTAGAGCTGTACGAAATGTCGGTGATGCTGCGGCCGATGCCGAGTGGCACGGCGGCCGACAAGCCTGGGTGCAGGCTGCGTCCGTAGGCCGAGGGAAACGCAGGTGCGGCCGCCGGAAAAGCAGCTGTCCCATTGTCTTGGCTGTAGAAGTTGCTATGGAGACTGTTGAGGGAGTGCAGGCTGCCGTGGACGCTGCTGTGGTCCTCAAAGTTGTCGTCGAACTCGTCGTCGTCGTGGTCGTCGTCGTCATCCAGGGCCCACGTCTTGGACTGTGACAGTTCGATTTGTTCCGCGGGGCGGAAGGCGACGGCGCTCGGCGGTAGGGCGATGCGGGCAGCAGGGGCCATGGCGGTGGCGGCGGGCCGTGTTGCGTTCTGTTGGGCCTGCCGCGCTCTCCGCTTGCCAGAGAATTGCAGGACGGTGACCAGGCTCGTCATGGCAAAGAGCACGCAGAGAGCCAGCACGAGACCCCAGGCGGCCTTGATTTCGTAGCATGTCGTCTGGTTGTCGCCGACAAACAGGATGTAGCTCGACGCCGGGGACGACGGCGTCAGCGAAATGGCCAGCAGGTCGTTGGCGTTGTCCGGGGATGGCATGGCCAGCACCGCACACGAAAAGCCTGCCAGGGGTCGGCCCAACACAACACCGACCACAACGAGCGGAATCAGAAACAGGACGTCGAGCGAGGTTGTCACCAGGTACGGCATGTGGGCGTCGTCGTAGGCGGTGGCCGACACAAGCGTCCACAAAAGGGCGAGGGATGCCGTCACGATGGTGCCCGTCACGGCGCCGGGGACGGCCAAGTGAGCATGCATGTCCTGCGCGACAAAGTGGCCGGCGAGACCGACCAGGGCGGCCAGGGCGGCGATCTGGCAGGGCCGGGCGCCGACAAAGGCGTAGCCGTAGTAGCCATGGTCGCGGAGGGTCATAATGGTTATGACAGCTGCGGTGGGAGTGTTCGAAAAGAAACGACGGCGAATTATCGATTGCTTCCTGCGCGGATGTGGTCGTCGAGTTGAATGGGAGTATACCGTAATCAAAAGGTTAATGTAGGCAACGATTTCGTTGGGATCTGCAAAAAGGCCGTCAGGCCGTATTTAAACGCGTTGAACAAAATGGCAGACTGTTGGAAGGCCCAATGGGAAACAGGGACGAAATATCGCCTCTGTGGTTGTTGAGGATGTAGTGAGTGGAAAGTAAGTAAACAGTGAAAAGATTGAAAGAATGTTACAATGATGCGAAGAGGCTGAAAGACCGAAGCCAAAGCAGCACGGATAGGAGAAAGTCAACAATAGAGTAAGACAAAGACAGCCGAAAGAAAGAGGCTGAGTCAAACCAAAGCACAAAACAATAGTCAAAGAATGGACAAAGGGTTGGTGAGATGAAAGAAGGAACGACTGTTGGCAAATGAGTGTAAGTGAGGAGAGAGAGGTGAACAAGAATGAGAAAGAGAGTGCAGAGAACAAAACGAGCAGAATTTTGGGGGAACCGAAAGATAAGAAAGAAAGTTAAAAAAAAAAAAATGAAACTGTGAACTGAATAAAATGAATAAGATAAAAAAGAACCAGGTGACAACAGAAAGAGTGAGTGGACGCGAGATGCCCCAGCACGCACGAGACGATGGAGACAATGGAGACAAGGTAACGAAGCACAAGACGACGGATGCAACGACGTGGCGGACGAGGTGGACGAACACAGACAAAAACACCGACGAACAGGCGCCCACGCCGAATCCGGAGGCGTCGGTCGTCGTGGGTGGTGTGTGCCAGCACGCTGTCCCGGTGTCGTGGTTCGCGAGGGGATCCTGGTCGAGACGAGCGGGAAACGTCCCCAAGGTCGTCAGAAACAGCAAATTGCCAGCAATCTGGTTTTGTATGGAGTCTCTCTGTAATTCCTGGCAGTCGTGTCTTGTCGTACGTACTTTGTGTGTCTTGTGTTCCCGTATGTCTCGTCTGTGTGACGAGAAACGAGAGTAGTAGACGAAGCAGGGCATGGATAAAGGCTAGTCAAGACTGGTCAAGGCTGATGAAGACCGATTTATGTATGTCCTCGGCTACAATGAGAGTGTTTTTTTTTTTTTTCTGTTGATTGTTTCTTCTCTCTTACGGCGCATCCTATTTTGGGAGCATCTCGAATGACCGTCTAGATCGATCGAACGGCAGATTGCAGACGCAGACCTAGACGCGGCCGTGCATGCGGCCATAGCCGCAGCAGCTGTATGGCCATCCGCGGTCAGTGGCCATAAATGTCTGTCGCTGACCACGACTCGTTCCAGTAGCCGCCCGGATGGGATGCCGTGCAAGGAGAGTCGGCCATGCAGGCCGCGACTGTACCTGCATAAAGGCACACTTGTGCCATGCACACCGCAGAGGGGTTTGTCCACAAGGCGTGGCAATTGCATTTTAGTTTTGTTTCTCGTTTCTCGTTTGTCATTTCTCGGTTCTCATTTCTCGGTGTCGTTGTTCTGCTTCAAAGGACCCAAGACCCGGGAAACGAGGTCCAAGGAGCAGGTACCAGAATCAGGGAACGTCTGTCTTCTCCTGGACGGCGCGTAGCACAGCAATATCGAATACGAAGTTTGGGGAAGATTAAGCGGAAGGGGGAGAAAATGAAGGCAGGGAGTGAGGGAGTGCAAAAGACTGAGAGACAGAAGGAGAGAGACATCGACACGAGTCGAGGCTGTACAAACAACAGGCAAGTTGCTAACGTGCTCGCTCACAAACAAAAGTACGCATCCTATGGCTGCCACTCTCGCTTGTTGTCAAGAGGGCCCTACAATGACCCGACGAGTGTCGAAGTGGAACCAGACCCTCTTCTGCTGGCACTGCCGTCCCAGGCTCTTTTTGTTTGCGTGCCGCGCGCTCGGGAACGACCCCTGTCGAGTCTCGACCAGACCTTTTTTTGGTTATGGAGTGTCTTCCCCTGCACCCACCAATTAGCACCCCTGTCGCATGGTCGTTCTCTGACGAGCTCCCCTGTCCTCAGCTCGCGAACTGGCGATCTGGAGGGAAGAGAGAAAAGAAACGAATAAATAAAGCAATACTCCGAGAAGAAAGCAGATAATAAAAAGCAACGCCGACGACTCGCAGGAATAGCCGCGGGAATGTTGGTTGGACGAGGTCGAGAGGAATGAGCGAGCGGCTGTGAATACTCGTTTGAACAAGCGCTGCCGAACGGGAGGCTGCAGGTTGAAGATTGCAGGGCTCCACGGGGACTCTCTGGACTCCTTGGACTTGCAAATGAATTGTTCAGACATATTGGACCACAATAACAGCAATGTAAAGAACAGTATGGAGAGAAGAATAAGGTCCCTCTATTCACGTACTTCTGCCTGCTTTCTGGCTTTTGATGAGCCTTTCTGAGCGACCCCACAGCGCGGCCAAGCGTGTATGGCCGAGACACGGCGAGAGGCCGCGCGATTGGCAAAGCGCTGTCGAGACGGTGAAACACGAAACGAAGGAGAAAAACGAGTCGGAATGGGGACGCGACGAAACAGAAATAGAACAATGGGAAGGGCCTTTTGAACTACGAACAAAAGAGCGGGTCGGCAGCGAACGGCCTCATGGCAAGTCACGTCCACCCGAGTAGGCATACGACGGGAGAGTGGACGGCGATCTTTGAGACAGAGACGGCCGTTGTCGCAGTGCATTCAGTCAGGTTTGAGTCAGATCAGAATCGGACGACGTACTTTGGTGACGCGGTGAATTGTGTGGTATTACGTGGTAGGTATTGCCTCGGATGTCGTCCATCCGGCTTGTCGTTCATTAGGGTCTCTATTCTGGGACAGATGGAAAGGAAAACAAGTAAATCGGGGGAGGAAGCCAGACATCAAATCGACAGAAATCAAACAGGCTTGTTGAACCAATGCAGTGCAAAGACAAATGACAAAAGAGAAATGACAAATGGCCAAAACAATGCAGACGCGGACAAAACGGAACAGAAGGAAAAGGCAAGGGAAATCAGGAAAAAGGAAGAAAAGGTATCGTAGGTCATCTTTGGACGTGCGTGGTCGTCAACACCCACACGCCCCTCCGCGTCGCCGGCTCGGCAGCGCAAACACCTCTTCCCACTCCCGCAGCGCCATGCCGCCGCCGCGCTTGGCCTTGCGCCCGCCGCCCAGCACGGTGCCGTTGCGGCGCCGTCTCGGTCCGCCGCCGCTGCCACTCGCATCCTCGACGCCGCCGCCCGCCATGCTGTAGCTTCGCGTGCTGCCGCCGTCGCTGGCGCCGGCGTTCCAGCTGGCGCCGGCGTCGCCGTACTGGATGCCGCTCATGGGGTCGTCCGGGTCGATCTCGCCGAGCTCAATCTTGGTCAGAATCATGCGCGCCATGCGGCCAAAGACCTCGTCGACGCCCTCGCCGCTCAGCGCGCTGACCTCGAGGGCGACGGGCACGTGCACGGACGTGGCCCAGCGGCCGGCTTCGGCGGTGCTGACCTCGCGGCCGTCGGGGGCGACGGTGGCCTTGAGCTGGGCGCCGAGCCCGGGGGCGGCGGGGGCGGCGGCGGCGGTGGACGGTGCGGCCGTCGCTGTGGACGCGGACGCAGACGACGCCGGTAGGCTGGCTGCCGTCGTGGCCACGCTTGTGCCCAGGATGGACGCGGACGGCGACGACGACAGATACGAGGCGGACGACGACGTCGGGGCGGCGGGGCGGGTGTCGGCGACGTCGATGAGGTCGGCGGCCAGGTCGAGCTTGTTGCCGACGAGCAGGGTGGTGAGGTGCGGCGAGGCGAGCGCGCGCGCGTCGTTGAGAAACGGCGGCAGGGCCGCAAACGAGCGGTGCGCCGTGACGTCGTAGACGAGAATGGCGCCGGCGGCGCCGCGGTAGTACGACCGCGAGACGGACCGGAAGCGCTCGGTGCCGGCCGTGTCCCACAGCTGCAGCTTGATGCGCTTGCGCCGCGCGCCGCTGCCGACCTTGATGATTTTGCTCGAGAACTCGACGCCGATGGTCTGCGACGAGAGGACCCGCCACTCGTTTTTGACGAACCGGTGCAGGAGACAGGATCTGGACGAACCCCGTTAGCAAGCAGCACGCGTCCCCCCTCTGACTCCGTCTGTCCTGCACGACTTACTTCCCCGACCCACTCGGCCCAAGCAATATAATCTTGGCCAGGTAGTCGTACATGCTGCCGAGCTCCTGGTCGTGCGCCGTGCCGGAGCTGTCCTCGCTGGCGGCCGAGGACCCGCGCGGCCTCGTCATGTCGGCGGTGTGTGGTAGAGGAGCGGATGGGTAGGAGGGTAGTCGGTAGGTCAGGGTCCCTGCCGAGTGCTGTCGGTCTCTGTCGTCGTCGTCGTTGTCGCTCGATTTGTCGGCAGCGGCGGAACAGTCCAAGGTCGAATCTCCGTGGAATAGCAAATGTCCGTCGAGGCAAAGACACAAAGCAAAACGCTGTTGAAGCGAAGGATGCGAAGCGCGAAAGTCGGAATGCGGCGAGAAACAAACCAGCGGCAGGACGTTGAGTGGTCGTGAGCCGTGTGATGCTGTCGCGTTGAACGAGCAAAATCGAGTCAACGCAGCAAAGCAAAACCGGATGACGCCCTCTCCTTGGCGAGGCCTTATCTTTGTCATGTGGGTCGCACCTCCCTCGCTGCCCAAACGATTAGCACTGAACGACGGAAGTGTGGGGCTCGTTGTCGTAGAACTGCAGGAGCGTCCCGTACGCTTTCGTTAGCGTGCCGCTGGCCTGGAAGGAGCCATGGAGTCGCCTAGGAATGGCCTTGAATGGCCTGAGACGCTCTGGGAACCTGTAAGCACGCTGTAAGCCTTGGACCGCTGCCCACCATCCACTGTCCTGCAGCTCGCCCCATACGGGAAGACGAGCGGCAATGCGGAGACCCGTAGCGGCGCTGTGGTTCACAGTTCACATGCCGAGGCTGTAGATTTCCAGACAGCCGCTGGGTCGTTCTTGCTGGCGGCCGTTCCTGCCTTTCTGTCTTTCTGCCGTTCCTTCCGTCTATCATACCAACAGCACGTCCGACTCCGACTTTCGCTTCTTCCTTCTTTTGCGGCCAACTTCTTCCTCCGTCTCAACATCGTCACCTTCTTTCGACGTCCTCCTCTTCCACGCCGCCACCACACTTCGCCATGAAGATTGACGGCCGCACCTTTGTCATCTCCGGCGGGTGAGTTTCCGTGAACCGGCTCCCTTTTTTTTTTGTCCCATCAACCCCATCAGCTCTAACAAACAACAGCGCCTCTGGCCTGGGCCGTGCCGTCGCCGAGGACCTCGTCCGCCACGGCGCCAACGTCGCGCTTCTCGACCGCAACGAAGACGACGGCCAGGCGGTGGCCGCGGCGCTCGGCGGCGACGCGGTCGCCAAGTTCTGGCCCGTCGACGTCACCGACACCGCGTCCATCGCGGCCGCCGTGGCGGGCGTCGTCGCCTGGATCCAGGGCACGACCAAGAAGCCGCTGGGCGGCGTGGTGCCGGCCGCGGGCGTCGGCTTCCCCGGCCTGCTCCTCGACCGCAAGCTGCGGCCGCTGCCGCTGGCCCACTGGGACGTGGTCCTCAACATCAACCTGCGGGGCACCCTTGACCTCGTGCGCCAGGTGCTGCCGTACATGGGCGGCGCCGACAATGTGGTGGGCGCGCCCGACGGCGCCGACCAGGAGCGCGGCGTCGTCATCATGGTGGCGAGCGCGGCGGCGTTTGAGGGCCAGATGGGCCAGGTGGCGTACGCGGCGAGCAAGGGCGCGGTGGCGGCCATGACGCTGCCGATGGCGCGCGACCTGTCGAAGCACGGCATCCGCGTCGTCACGATTGCGCCGAGCATGTTTGACACGAGCATGACGGCCGCCATGACGGACAAGGTGCGCCAGAGCCTGCTCAAGAGCATGGAGTTCCCGCCGCGCCCCGGCCGCGCCGACGAGTTTGCCGCGCTGGCCCGCCACGCCATTGAGAACACGATGCTCAACGGCGTCGTCATCCGCCTGGACGGTGCCAGCCGGATGCCGGCGCGGTTGTAGGATGTGTGTACGTGCGTAAAAGGAAAGGAAAAGCACAATGTATAGTGTATCGTGCCTTTGTAGTTCATGTACATAGAAGCATTCGATTGTATCTGTCTCATCGTTCCAACCCGTTCCGTTGCCCTGCTACGCATGCTACGCATGCTACGCCTAGTTACGCCAACCGGTTCGGCAGCGCCTCGCCCCGCGACCACTTCAACAGATTCTCCACCTGCGTCGCGTACCACGTCTCCATTGTCACCCGCTCGCCATACCCCGTGTGCGGCGTCAGCAGCACCTGGCTGCTGCCGTCCGGGCCGCCCCAGCTCGTGGTCCGCCACGGGCTGTCCTGGGGCAGCGGCTCCACGTCAAACACGTCGAGCGCCGCGCGGCGGATGGCGCCGCGCCGCAGCACGTCCAGCAGGTCGTCCTCGTTGACAATGGGGCCCCGCGACGTGTTGATGAAGATGGAGTCCTGCTTCATGCGCGCCAGGTCGGTGCGCGTCACCAGCCCGCGCGTGCGCTCCGACAGCACCGTGTGGATCGCCAGCACGTCCGCCTCGCGGAACAGCGCCTCGCGCGACACGGCCGCAAACGTGCCCGCCGGCAGGCCCTGCGCCGCGGCCTGCTCGTCGGCCTTTTGCTGCGTCAGGTTCGCGCTCCACGCAATCACTTTCATGCCAAAGGCCTGGTGCAGCAGCTTCGCCGTCGCCGCGCCCAGCCGGCCCAGCCCCACGGTCGCGTACGTCTTGCCCACCAGCCCAAACGGCGCGAGCCCCGTCTGCCAGCCGCCCGTCTTGACCGACAGGTCGTCCAGGGCCACGCTGCGCGCCACCGCCAGCAGCAGCGCCACAAAGTGCTGCGCCGTGCTGCTCGGGCCGGCCACGCCTTCACTCTCGCCCTCGCCGCGGTCGACCGACGCCACCACGGGGACGCCGTGCCTCTGAAAGGCGTCGAGGTCCAGCCCCCGGTTGCGGCTGCCCGTCGTCAGCAGCAGCGCGAGGTTCGGCAGGCGGTCGACCAGCGCACCCGGGAACGGCGTGCGCTCGCGCATGGTCGAGATCACCGCAAACGGCGCGAGGCGCGCCACGAGCGCGTCCTTGTCGGCCTGCGACGTGCTGGCATGGTTGTACGGCAGCAGCGTGTCGGGAAAGTAGACGACCTCGAACGCGGCCGGGTCGAGCGTGTCAAAGTACGCCTTGGCATGGCCCTTGTAGTCGTCGAGCACGGCGACCTTGACGGGCGCCATTGTGGGCAGAGGGGATTGGGGTGATCTTGCGCGTTTGGTAGAATTGAGTCGACGTGTTGGCTCGAAAACTACGTTTTTTGTCCTTGTACGATGCCAAAAGTCGCTGGATGTCACTGGATATCACCATCGCGGACTCGATTTCCCCGCCGGCACCGGCACCGAGTCGCTGTCACGTTGAGTGTGGTTCAATGGCGTATATTAGAGAAGGAAGCGGTGGGCCTTGCTGCACCCCGCAGAAGGAAAAGGCAGCGCTTTGGCTCCACTTTTGACACCAGGATAAACACAATTCCTCCGTATGAGAAGAGTCGCCGTGACGAACCAGCTTTTAACTTACGCGACTGGGCGGTCTCGGCAGTAGCATGCGGCAGGAATAAAAGCACCAAAAGGAGAAAGAAGACGATGTATTCAGTGACAAAATGTAGACGACGAGAGAGTGGCAGCTGGAATGCCTCTCCGCCCATTCTCGAATCACAATGGCATCACTGTCATGCACGTCCTGGCTCCTATACTGTCTGACTCTGTCGGAGGATTGAGACGTCTGCTTCAATGATAACCAAAAAACAAGCAAACAAAGAGCCAACGATCTATCATGCCCGAGTCGTACTTACCGCATTCAAGTATACTTCACGCCATGGGTCCCAGCCAGGTCCAGCCAGGTCAAGCCTGGAACGGGCATATGAAGGTCGCAATCGATCTATTTGAGGCCTTTCGAGGCTTCCTCTCTCCCCTCGTCAAGACTCACCAACGCAGTGCGTTGTCCATCGCAAGAGACGCATCCTGCCTTGTGGGCAGCCTCATCAAGACAGCCTGGCTGCCAGTTTGTCAAGATGGACCGTGACATCCCCCTGACTCTCTCCATGTAAGACGATGTACGTTGTATGACGACGCACCCATCCGTCGAACCACGTGGCGTTCTCTCTGCTGCCATGGATATGACGAGGTTGGCATCTCACACCGGACAGAGGAGGGACGCAACCGAGAGCAGACGAAGCGTGCGTCTCAAGTCCTATCCAATATCCTCAGTGTGTTCTCCGGAGCAGACATATCGTATTCTTACATTCATGGCCAATAAAACATCACATCAACAAATATGTGTCAATATGACATGTCAATACGGATTTGGACTTTGACATCCACACACCAAAGCATCGACCACATCAAGGGTCACACACCTCCCATGGCCATGCGTCAATGCCACATGGCTTCTGGCTTCTAGTGATTTCCTTTTTGAGCCCCTTTCCTCATTCCTTCTTGACCTCATCTCGCGACAACCGGCTCCCCTTTTCTCTTCAACGCACGGTGCACTTATTTGTGTCTTTCCAGAAAGACTGTCACGATGATGGAAATTAACAGAAAGGCGGTCTGCAGCAAAAACCGACACTAGCGCGTTTCCATGACCCCTGTTCCCCTTCTAGAAGAAAAAAGGAACAAAATTGGATCAAGAATTGGCAACGAAGAAAATTTCTTCGAGAAATTGGACGGATTCTGCGACAGGGGCGACCAGTGCTGACGAGGACAGGAGCAGAACAAGGAAGGAATGGTCTGTGAGCCGTTTTCCGAGACGCAAGGCAGCCCTGTTTTGTCCAGTGGTTTTGTCTAGTGTCTTCTCCCAATACTTGTTAAGCAAACAACAGGAGGTCCCTGCATCGTCATGCCACCAACCTTCGCCCCATCGTGTGGGAATTACGGAGGAGGGTCCTTTGTTATTTGCTTTTTTCTGGATACTCAGTGCTCCATACAAAAAGTAGGCCCTTATTACATCTTTCTCCTTTAGGCACCGTATTTTCCCACTTGCGCTTCCGCTTCTGGGGGCATCATGACAACCGATCGCCGCTACTCCTGACAGGCTGCATGCGGCGTCCCCAACATACTAAGTAATTACCTTGCATTTTGTGGGAAAATGTGGGAAAACCTGTGCTGCGCGTCTGCACGCTACTGCAGGAACGGAAATGCCCACGAAATGCTCCCAAAACTTGGGATTCAGGAGGTGGCGAAAACAAGACTTTCAGTCATTGCATCGAATGCCATCACCACACCAAAGGCTAGGCGGTTGTTTGATGTGAGCCGGTTCTGTGGAAGCACTAGGCAAACCGAAACGGGGCGACGGATCTGACCGGCGGCGCGTGATCAATTTTCGTGTTGTCTGAAGAGTGGACAACAGACTCGGCGACGATGCATTGGCATGGCAAAGGCGGTGTGACTGGTCAAGCCGTCACATCTGTCACACATGTCACTGTCACCACATGTCACATCTGTCACTATGTCACTCTGTCACACCTGTCACCTGTCGCGTACTTAGTCTCTTTCGCATCACATATTCACATCCCGATTCGGGAGTGCCTGCGCATGCACATGCCAGAAAAGTGTGTCGCTCGTTGTCCTTTCCACGTTTTGCCGTGTTGCACGCCCCTTTATTTGCCACCGTTCGCTGTCAACTGTTGGCAGACGGAGTCCTCTCCAGGAGGCAGATTGCAAGGAGAGAGATCGGAGACGACTTTGCCAACAATAAGAAAGACCAGCTCCATCAAAACCAGAACAGCCGCTGATCCAAGAGGCCGGGATGCCCAGGTGACTGGAGAGACTGTGATACTGGTTGGCTACCAATGGAGCAACCCCGATTGACTGGTTGTCTTGCTGCCCGGCTCCCCGGTTCGTCTTGTGTTTTCGTGTTGGTTTGTGCCTTCCTTTGGAGAAAATACGGTGAGCAGACTCGCAGGGTCCTTGGATTGCCTGGCATACGGGACACTCTGTAACGACTCCATATTTACCGCCTTGGAAGCGGGAAATGAAGATGCGAGCAAAAGCCGACGACGACGGGCAAGGATTCAAGCGCCGTCAGACTGGAGGACCCTCAGGACCCTAACCATACTCTGTAAACGTTGGTGGTCGGGCCTCATGATTAAGTGGTTGCGTCTCGACATTGTATTTTTTTTCTTCTTTTTTTTCTTTTCTGCCAAGGAAATAACCTCGGGAGGCAAAACGGCAGAAAGGCAGGCGCGGCAAGACAGAAAAGAAATAGAAAACCCCCTTCGAAGCGACCTCGTTTCGCATTCTTCATCCCATTCCGCAGAAGCCGTTTCGTTTCCTGGCAATTCCAAACCAGGCAAAACCCAATGACCAGGAAACGGGACCCGCCCCCTGGTCTGGAGTTCCACGTGGAAATGAATTAAACGAATGAAAGATTGGGAACGAAACAGTGAGAAAGTGGAGACGATCGTGTATTTGCCGTCTGTTTGCTACCATGGCGGAAAATACTCGTCGTTGCTCGTTTCGATTTGCCGCCTTCGGCCACCAAAGATAGTCTCTAGTTTGATTCCAGTTGAAGTTTTTTTCTCCCCTTGACTCCTTGATTTCCGACATAATAGTCCAACGAGACCCATACCAAACTTGGCCACAAGTGAATCAGTGCGTCTCGACCCATTAGTACTTGGTTTGCATCCGGGTCATTAAAAAATTGAAAAGGCGGAAAAGGTCATAGAGAAAGACAGAAAAACTTAAACATCCCTTGTCCAGGAACCGGCGACTTCGGCAACACGGAGTGCGACGGACACTCTTTTGTTTCTTGATTTATGGATTCCACGACTTCCGACATATGAAATACGATTGGCTGTGTGCACGTTTGTTGGTGACAACCTAGCTGTCAGATTCTTGCTTTTCTGGCACAAATTCACACCAGAGCCTTGCCAAAATCGGCGTAGACGACTGTGCTGGGGGGTTTATCCTTCCACCCTCCTGTGGCACTTTGACGGGTTTGCCAAAACGAGGAGAGAAAAGGTAAAGGGAAAAGGAAGGGGGAAAAAAAAGAAGAAAAAAAAGAAACTCGTATTTACGCACAGATGTCGATAATGTTGGTGACAGTCCAACTGTTCAACCGCCGAAGAGAGCGTCATGGGAAAAAAACATACCGGACATTGCCGACGTAAAACTGGCATGGCTCAGCCACGGAGCAGCCATTCCGTATATGGACGACTCACAACGAGGGTATGTCATAGCTTAACCGTTGGTGACGACAGCGTTGGTTGTGGCGTTTCGCGGTTGTTTCTCCTTTTGTCATGATCGACCGTTTCTCGTACTCCGTAAAACCACTTGGGGGAGTCAGCGTCGTCACATGGCCTTGTCACGTTGTTCTGTCCCGGCTGTTTGGTCCGCAAGGCGAACACGAGCATGTGTTTATGGGATGTGCGGACCTGGCGACGCTTGTAGGTAGAGGACTGAAGGAGGGCTGACGGAGGGCTGCAGGAGGGCAGTTGTTTCACTTTAGCGCACGTCGTATTGATTTCAATACTTGCAGTTTCCATGGCTGAGTCTCAACCAGGAAAGGAGTCTTGCCTTTTAGAGGGACAGAATCTTCTCTCAAAATTTGTCTTTCTCTTTTTGTGCTTCACGTTTCATCCCATATCATCTTGTCACGCAGGGCCGAGGCGATTGTCCGCGCAACTAAAATCGGTTCTTTTTTGACAGCCTAGACTTGTCACAAGGCCCGCAAGGGACGGCGTAGCTGTGTTAGTTTTTGTTCTGCTGTTGTAGTCAATTACCCACAACACTCTCATTACGTTCGCCTCCCCCTTGACTATTCGACTAGCCAGGCACATAGAGGCACATGGAGGCACACAGACACACGGAGCGCGCGAGACAAGAGAAACGGCGTCGCGGGAACAAGCCTTAATTCAGGTTTGAGACGATAAGGATCGTCGTTTTTTTCTTTGTCTCCGCAAACTGCGCAGCAGTGAGAAAACAAAACTGAGACACGCCAGGGACACTATTGTCGTGGCTTTCGCTTTGGGAGAGCCCAGCGCAGTTAGTTCAGCTGAACAGGCACACAATACACCGTAGGGTGGTGGTGAAAGGCACGGACGCAAGGGAGCCAACACGAGTTGCCTGGACGAGCCGGGCACATTTTTCACAACGTTACGCCCGCCGTGGGTGCGGTTTGTCGTGGCCGTCTTACAATGATCTGCCATGGATAGATTCTTGCCGCCGTTCCCTCACAACTCGGCTCAATATTTCGTCTCGGACAATGGCCCTCTCGTCACCAGCACACAACCTAGCAAAAGTTGGACTAGTGAGGTGGTGCGAGGCCCTGCTAAGCTTCGCTTGCCCGGTACGAGAGCGAGACGAATAAAAAGGCTGTTTCCGATAGTCTCGCCGGGACGTCCTGACAGCCCAAGTCCACCGTTTTCGTCTATTCCATTGCCGCTAGTCACCGTTTTCTGTCATCGACATTTATGATTCCATTCAGCTCTCTTGTTTCGGGCACACGGCTGTTGCATCTCACCATTATTAATGTTTTATTTTGTTTCTGGTGTGCTGCTTGCTTTCTTTTTCGTGGACTTGTGTACGACAGTATGTACCAATATGTACGACGCCTGCAATGGAACATTCACTGCCACGCCCAAAAATAAAAAGAGTGCGCAGCCCATAAGCATAACCCGTGCAATGTAATACATCGTACGGCTGAACGCAGGCCACCTCTTACCGCTGCAAGCCATCTCTCTTATTTTCTCCCACGGGACTTGATTCTGCACGGGCGACGCGGCTGACGGAAGTATACAACATAAAGTGGCCTGCCCGTCATGTGAGAGATGCAATTACGACAAATAACACTGCGCCCCGTTCCGATCCTTTGTCCACATCCTTTTGCTTCCCGTTCAACTCGACCGGCCCCGTTCACGGCTGTCTATCTGCCACCGGAAAAGTAATCAAAAAAAGACAGCACGTCAGATGTGTGCCCCCCTCACCTCGGCCGCCCAGTCAGCGGCCAACATGGTGTGCTGGCACGATACCAACAGGAAAATAACATATAAGAAAAACAAACCGATCAGAAAGGCCGAACCCCACCACTTCCGCAAGGCTCGGCCTTATCATGTCTGCAGCTCGTCTGCAGAGTACTTTGTCCTGCGCACGCAATTCTGCATGCAAGCGATGCATGAGATCACCCGCCGACGTGGCAGGCTTGGCCCTCTGCGTGAGCCCGGAATCCTGCGCAGTCCGCCGTTTCCTACGTCTCATTGCCCTCGTCTTTGGTAAAATACACCCCTCGCGCACCACGACAGCCTTGTCGCCTTGGCGTGTTGAGGATGTCAGCTATTGAGGCATGTCCATTTGCGCATCGCAACTTTATTTCCGCCATTACAATGTACGACGTCCTACAGAATATGCACAAGGGCATCGTTATCGCCTCGCAAGCCAAAATGATCCCAGCCGAGCCTAACTAGATGGATGGAGGAAGACAACCAAAACGGTGAATAATGAGTCATGACCACAAAAATCAACGAATGACCGGCGGTCCCAAGACAAGGGTAATGGGGGCGCTGCTTCGCTGCCTTGTGCGGGCCCGCAAAGGGTTACATCGGCTGCCCAGTTGTGAAGGAAGAAAAGAAGAAAGGAAGAAAAATGAGTCCGTGGGCTCCGTTTCTTTCATTTTGCATGCATGCATGCGCATTTGTACAGAATAAAATTGGGCATTTTCCGATTCCCCATCTGCAAGTGCTCCCGTGACCCGAGACTAGGCTGTCCGCGACTTGTGTAAAACATCGGCCATGCATGTAGTTTTACGGAGCAATGACGACGTACGGAAGTTCACCACCTGACCACACAGACGTCGACCGTTTTGACGTCCGGCGATCCGTTCTTGGCTGTTGACTCAACACGTCTTCGTAGATACGACGCACACCTGCGGCTCACCGTAAGTCGCCTCGTCTCTTTCATACGTCCACCTTTGTTGACTTCGGCATGGGAACCAAACAGGGGACAACGTGAACTGGATCTCACCGCTGAGGCGTGTACGAAGTACATCTTGGGGTGACCGTTTCACGTAAGGGGATTTGCCCACACATGACCGCATTGCACATTGGTAGCGCCGAGAGCGCGACAGAGACAGACCAGTGGTTACGAAGTCGGCAGCGGAAGGGCGGGCATGTCGTATTCGCGACAGCCGGCAGTTCAATCAGCCGGCGATGGACAAGCATCCGAGATTTGTTTTCTTACGTCAGACCAAGGGAACAACGGGGAATAAAGAAATAAAGGAGCCGTTCATTTTTTTTGTCAGTTCAGTATTCCTCATTAGGGGCTGCGAATCTCCAACGGTCCCTTGCCTAAGACAAATAACGGGATCAACAGGCACGAGGACATAGTGTCAGTGCGCAAACATGTGAGTACGATACACTTGCAACAAGCATTCAACCGTTGCGTTTGCATTCCGGGTTCGTCCGCTGAGTCGGTGCTGCCTAACTCTGTTGGGTCTGGTATGCATGGTGTTTTTTATTTGTTGGTTGCTTTCTCCATTGTTTCTTCACCGTATTTGCATCGTGGAACGACAGGATTACATCGTAGGTCTTTCTGCTTTTTTCCCCAGCACTGGCTCAATTTCCGCCGACCTCTGGTTTGGTCATTCCACCGTGTCCACAAAGGGAACCACAGTCCCGGTGTCGGTCCGCCACTGCTCCATACTGCCTACGTCGTTGATCACAAGCCAAAAAGTTGTGCACAGAAATGACGCGAACGACAGACTGAAGGAAACATGGGTCACTACCTTTTCGATGTCGTATTTTTTGCCGTCTTGAATGAAACTGCGTGAAATAACTCCGACGCAAGGACGCGGCGGCGGGCCAGCTGGGAAACGTGGCATGTTGGGCAAGCGTTGTTGGGCAGTTTGGACGGCACTGCCGGGCCTGTTGGCCTGGCCGTCCGTCTCTTGTCGGCTTTTGTGTCTGTGGGTGTCGGTCTCTTTCCTATTTTGCCGTTCTGACCTTTTTTTTTTTCTGCCAATATATGTACGACACAAAATGGGGCCTTTCCCAACTAGGATCGTGAGATTACATGTTGCCGAGGGTTGTGGATGAGGAAGAAGAAACGTTGAGACGTTGAGGGTCAAGTAAGATTTCAGGGTCCACTTGGGTTATGTTTTTTCTTTCTTTCTTTGTTAAACATTTTCCGCGCCTTCCTTTCGGCTTCCACGCTAGAAACCGTAGAGAAGGAAACTAACGTGCTACAATCCTAAATTAAGACCAAGAAATTAAAACCTGCCAAGTGACACGAGCGCGACAGGAGGTAGTCAGAGAGAGTCATGTCGTCGACGAAAGTAAGAGCAGACGAAGCCTCCGTCCCAGAACACGAAATATGTCGTCAACCAAAGGTCTTGGCGTGCGCCGTGGGGTCCGTATTCTATTATTCTGTATGTAATACGATGTCCTGCGCCCGGTGCATGAGGCCCGCCTATATTCTCGATGCCGTCGGTCACGTCACACGGCACACGGCAGGACGGCGTGTTGGAAATTCTTTGTCTGTTGTCTGTTGTTAGTTGTCATCTTCGCATCGTGTCTCGGCAGTACAAAGTCCTCAGTTTGTCGATGTTTTTGCTGCCATCTGTGGGCACTGCCTCGTGCCTGCCTGTTGTGTCGCCCGCCTCTTCGGCCGCTGCCTTCCCGTGCCTTCCTCCTTCCTCCTGTGTCTGTTTGCTACTGAATCTTTCTATTCATGGCCCTCCGTGCTCCTCGGCACCTGCCTTGTGATCCTTGCACTACTCTGCCGTGTCTCTTTCTCCGTGCCTGCCTTTTGCGGCACGGCTCAACGTTAACAAAATCCTACTGCGAACATCGTATGTTGTATGTACACTGTATTCTTCCGTCTTCCGTGTCCCCTTTAACTCGCTTTTGCGCCTCTGCCCCTTTGCCTTGTGGCCTTTGCCCCTTTTGATTCCAGTCGAGCGGCCCCCTTTCCTCCCTGCGCTCGAATGGCTTTACTTTAATTAATATCCCGCAGCTAGAACGCCCTAGAAAAACTGAAAGGGCGCAAAACGCCAGGTCCTTTTTTGTTGGGTTCTCGAGACCCTGTGCCTGGCTCATATCTGCAGTGTAATTTCCAGACCCAGGTTCTTTTGTTTTGTTGCTCAGGGTCCCGATTTTTATTTTAGTCCCATTACCCTGCGCCCCCAACGGTCAACGACAGCTGAATGGATTGTACAGAATACGATGTAAGATTCTGTTAGTACGTCATCTTCTGTAAAATGAGATGAGACTTCTGTAAAACAACCACTGTGTAAATCGTACAGGAGAAACAAAAGAGCCGCAAGAAGCGGGCTAGGTTGCCATGCCTCGGGAACCACCCCTGGAAGCAAGAGAAATTGGCGGAAATTGCGCCTGGGACCACTTTCCAGGCGGTGACCAAGCCAACCGTCACCCCTGTTCAGCATTTAAGGTATTTCGGCACTTTAACAATGTAATTTCAGACACATTTTGCAACGAAGCATAAACGGGTTCTTCCATTTCGCAGGGACCCCAATGCGCCTGAAATGAATGGAAATGATGAGGTCTTTGATGCATAATGCGCAGCAGGATCGTCTCGCAAAGTAAACAAAACTGCGAGGGCTGCAACACGATAAGATGACAGCCTATTACACATAGGTTTTGACAAGCACAAGTCGAGGAAGTGCGACTATTGGTGTCTGTCTTTGCATTTCTGTGATACGATGGTGAGAGTCTACAAGGCCCAATACCGACGGTTTCCCGGCAATAAATGTTGTATTATTCCCAAAATAGAGAATAAAGATTGAAAAAAGGAACTAGCGACCAACTGCACTGCTCTATTGGTTTTCTGAGTTTGTCTTCTTTTTTTGTCTTCTTTTTTGTTAGTCTTATTTTGTCTTTTGTCTTTTTTGGCATGATTCCACGCCGGCTATTGCCCAGCCGGCGACAGGAAGGAACTACGGAGAAACTGCAAGAGAGCAGCGGTGTAAAAGGGCCGAGTCGCAAGCCACCAAAATACCAACATGTTCGTGTTTGCGTCGGGCCCAACGGCGGCAGGGCAAGGCAGACGTAAAGAAGTACATGAAAGACGAAGAACGACGACGAACGACGACAACTCCCCGCCGCGGCCCACAACACGGCCGAGAGCACCTGCACGATGCGGCCAAAAAACGCGGCCACGATGCCAGCGCACAAGGAAGGCATGATACAAACGGCAGGCGCGGGATTCAAGGAAGGACTGGAAGGACTTTCTGTAGGGAAGGAACTCAGCCGCAGGCCGGACGACGACGTCTGGGTGCATCGCAAGGCTCTCCAAAATAAGGCCGAAACGGTCGCCAGAACGAAAACGGTCAAATGTCGCCAATGCGCCATGCGTCCTCCGTATGTGCGGTGAAGGCTGTCGAGCACATGAGCAGCGCGGCGGTTGCGCAGGGAAACTGTGTTGGGGCGGCCTGACCTCTCAAGCGCTAGCACCCCTGCCCCTGGTGCCTTCCCTCTTTTTGGCTCTTTGCCCTCGCTCTTTCCTCCCGGACGGCACTATGTCGTACTCATCGCCCGCAAGCGACGCCCCCCCACACACCCCTGATTCGGCGTGGCTGCCTGACCCCTGTTCCCTTGTTCGTCGTTTTGGCTTCTTTCGCATCACCATAGCACGATCGCCCCAAAGCCTGAAGGCCAGCCGAACCCGCCGCGCTCCGTTTTCTCTGCCCAGTCCACACCCCTGCCGCGCTATTGCTGTCCACACGACGCCTTTTCGGTTTTGTGGACGTGCCGCAGAAGGCAGAAGGCAAAGGCAAAACGGATCGGACGTTCTGCCTTCTGTCCTTTGTTCTGTCGCCGAGTGGCACCAGCTGCGCTTCACTGCACGCCCACTAATCGAGTCCCTTCCCATCATCTCGAAACGGCCGATCTTGGCTCGCACACCCCCCCCTCCCCTTCTCCTTTCCTTCACCCCCCTCTGGTGCTGGGCAAAAGGCTGCCTGGTCAGAAAGGAGCCACGCGAAATTGTCAACTACAAGGCCCTTGGCCCTGTTTTCACTCTGCCCGGTTTTTTTTTTTGTTTAATACTGTTTAATACGGAGTACAGAATACATTTCTTTTATTCTTTTTGTATTGTGTCGTTCCGTTTCCCAGAAGCTTTTGTCTTGTTCACTTTCTCACACCCCCTTCAAAATCCATATAAGTCAAGAGTCTCCCCCGAGCCCTTTCCTCTTCCCAACTCTGTCTCTCTTTCTCTTCGTCCTTATCATCACCAAGCCAAATCTCAAACTACACCAAACAACAAGCCAACACAACTCTCAACTACTCTCATCAACAACTAGAAGACACTTGGCTGCCTTGGTTTCATCCCAGTCATCTGCCTACAACCGCGTTCTTGCAAAACACCATCACGACCATCTCGAACACCTACCAACCACAACCACACAACATATCCGCAATGGCGTCTACACAGTTTGCCTCTATGGAGCAGCGTCCGTCGCAGCTGCCGCCCTGCCCCGGCCCGCCGCCAAGTCGTCCTCTGCCGCCGCTGCCGAACCGCGGGTAAACGGCACCACTCGGGTCTCTTGCGCTTTGCGCAGAACGAACTCTGAGTTACAGCTTTCAACAACTACAAACATGAACACAAACAAGCCCGCACCCGATCGTGGCAGCGTGGCGTTTGCACACCGGAAAGGAAAGAATGAGCACGGCATGAGCACAGCATGAACACAGCACCGAGAGACCAAGAAACACCAAGACAAGGCCGACCAAAAGCACAAAACCTTGACCCTTGACCGACCGGTCTGGTCGCACAGCATTTGTACACCACGCCACGACAGGACGCCTCTTCTCTGCTCGTCTCTCGCTCTGCACCATCCGCAAATCTCCGACTGGGGCACTCGGGCTCCCACCACAAACATCCTGTTCCCAGTTCTCACTCTGGCCTACGACCAACTTGACGAGCCGGCTCGGCCAAGTTCGCGCCCTTCATGGCAAACTCGCAACGCCAAGGCACAACCAAACCTTTCACAACCGACACTTCCGTCACGTCGTGATCGACTTTCGCCTTCCCCTTCACTGTACCACCACCGTTTTTATTACCCATTTTTTATGTTTCACCACCATACACTTTTGTTGTAATCACGACCCCCCTTTGCCTTATCTTTGTTCACCATTTACTACACGACGCGTACAACCTTATTTGTTACGAAGCATTATCGGTTATTTGTTTTTTTCGGGTGGTATTCCCCATAACACAGCTCTGGGTGGTTTTGTTTTTTTGTTACTTGCTTGCGATTAGAAAGGGATATCCTACTTGTGTGCCGACCACTCTGGCAATTTCCAATACGCTTGGTTAATTTTTTTGTATCACTAGAATGAGCATATGGGCTTCACCGGCGTCGTTCTCTTGGCTTTATTTGCTTAACCTGTTTTTCGTTACTATTCCCAAGAACCCGAAATGACAATATTATCGTTTCCCAGGCAAACCATTTCCATTCACTTGTCTTGTCCTTCATGTTTTTGTCACTCTGTCCTAGGAGAACTGGCTTCCTTGCAACTGTCGATTGCGTAAACGCCTAACATGTTTGGATTTGAATTGTCGAGAGCACCAAACGACAAGCACTTCTATTATTATCAGTCAGCCGCCACCACTTACCGTGATATAAACACAAGCATACGCCCTACGTCGTATGTCGTACTTGGGATGCAATATGTTGCATTGAATGACTGAGACATATGGCAACCACTTTACGCACACACACATTAATGGGCTCTCTCGACAAAAAAGTGTGAGACAAATCCCTCCGCATTCTGGCCGTTTTTGCCACCGCTTGTGCCTGGTTCCTGTTCTTTCTTTTTCGTGCTTTTACTTTTCCGTTTCCTTTTTTTCCGTTTTCGTCTTCCTGCTTTCCGCCTCCCACCATGTGTCTCTTGTGCCTGGATTGGACCGAGACCAGCGCCCGGCCCTGCCGCATGTTTCACACGGGGGAACAGGACCGAGAACAAGGTAGGAAGGGAGGCAAAGGAGGTTGAGAAAGCAAAAAAAGAGGGTGTCCGACAAGAAAATCCGACAGGACGAAAGTGGCCCTTCAGGCCAAGAACTTCCAAGACTTTTCACAAGACTTCCAAGAATCGAAAACCAGCCCAACTTTTCAGACCGTCCAGCAAGTGTCGTGAAGCGGCCACAGCTGGCATTGGTAGGCCGCGGCCAGTCTGTCGGACACTCTCCCGGTGATCAGCAGTCAGCATTTTGCTCGATCGAAGATCGTCTTTCGAGGCACTCCTCTCTCATCTATCTTCCACGTTGGAATCGATTCATCTACCTACGAAGTAGGGACTAGTTTATCGTGTATTTCTTATTTCTTTTTTGCTCATCACATCCCCTCTTTCCCCATCTCTCTCGTCTCCTCTTTTCTTGTCACTTTGAATGTCAGTTGACCACTCCGTTCACGTACTTTACTCGAAGCTCGACTACCTTGTCCGTTGTCTCCTCTTTGTACGACGGATCTATTCCCATCGATCCCCTCTTTCTGCCCTGAATGATCCCCACGCGCCGCCTCTCTCGACGTCCGACCCACTCCACACTCCACCGTTTATCCTCCGCTCGACCCATTCGACCCATTTCAGCGATGCTTTCCATCCCTTGCTTCACACTGGCCCGTCCATCAGCCTTCATGTGTGGCACACGTGCACCGCCCTGTAGGTCGAAAGCGAACGCTGCCCGCTCCTGATATGAGCCATGAGCTATCAAACGCCACAAAGACACCGGTGCCAGTCGACCATATTTTGTCAATATGATCGCCCTAGTTCCGTGCTTTTCCCTCGTTTGTAGTTGATTAATTGAGGGTGGATCCCGGCGCGTCTGGGAGTCGTCGTAGGAGACAGGTCGAAAGGAGATACTAGACCAAAATTAATGTCGTCATTCCAGCAATCTCTACCTCTAAAACTGACACAATGTTTCGTCGTACGGAGAGTACCGTCACACACTATCGGTATTTCCCACCACCTCCTGTCCTCTTGTTCTTTTGAAGTGCTGGCCTTGCTAGGACATTCGGTCCACGTTTCTTTCGTGTCGTTCTGCTGGTACAAGAGACGACATCGATGTTGTCGGTATTATCATTCTTTTCTTCGTTTTCCCTTTTTTTCTTTTTTTCTTTTTCTCTCATTCTCTTTCCTGTTTCCGTACACCTTACACGCCCCCTCCATTTCAACACCTCCATGATGCTCTGTATCCGCGGAGGTATCCCGTCTTGGATCGTCATCAGCCTACCCATCTCCTGGTCTGGTTTCCCTCCGTTTCCCCTCCTCCTATTCTCCCTTGCCTTGAGGTTCTTATATCTTGGCTTCGTTGACTTGTCCCCCTCTTCGTCCCCTCTTCGTCCCCTCTTCGTCCCCCTCTTCTGAGCTAGTTTTATCGTTTCACACCCATATCCCATTGCCTGTCTGCTTTTTTACATTTTTTGCGCCAAGATCCAATACAAGCACTCGAGCCGTCCAAGGCTGTATCCAGCCAGGCGCCTTACACATTGCTGTTCACCTCAAGCTCCGTCGTAGGTGATATGATGCAGGCCACATGACGAGCTACATCGTACAGAGGACAAACTCCACCCCCTCTAACCAGCCCCCAAAAATAAATGATTCCCTCCGGTTTGCCGCTTCCCATGTCCCGTTTCTCTTTTCGTTTCCACTCCGTTTCTCGTTCTGGTTTATTTTACTCTCCGTCCCGTGAGACCTGCGTCGGGTTTTCCCCTTCCGTTGCTTCCCTATCGACGATTCTCTCCCGTTTCCCCGGTTCATGTTTGTTCCCGCCAATACAGCATGGATGGGTGGGTAGACGAGTCGTTGAGCTACGTCGTAAGTCTTAGACAGCAGGAAGATAACACGCCCTATGGTCGGGCCGTTGACACAATCCGATCGGTGCATTGGAACGTGCGCATGTGCCAGATAAGAAGAGCAAAGATTGCATGAGAAGGGCCCTTCATATTCTCTTGCATACGGAGGACGGAGTCTGTTGGAGCGGGCTTTGTAACAAAAGCGGTGGAGTAGTAGCAGAGCACGTCACGCACGCATGTCCGTAACACGATATCCGACCCCCATGCGATGATCCCCTCACGACATACAACGTCCGACATACGAGGCCCTCCATAACATGTCCTATTTTTGAACTCAACAGCGTCCCACAGCAATAGCCCCTTTATGCCCTGGGATTTTAGAAATGACAATCCCTTTGATGTTTTGATGATGTGGGGATGCAAATCTAAACGAAAAAGGGTCCTAACAACGAGAATACGACAGCTTTATTCGTTATCTCTTTGCAGTCTCACGCACAGACCTGGGATCCCCAAATTGCGCATAGGGCATTGTGGTGTAATCTTCCCCCCAACAATCTCCGCTCTCCTCCCCAGCTATTTT